AGTAGTTGCTTTATCATATCTTGTCCAAATTTTGCCTTTTTGGGGGGAGAGGGATACTGGGGTTTGAATTCAGGACCTACACCTTCAGCCGCTCCACCAGTCTCTTTTTGTAATGGCTTTTTTTTGAGATAGGTTCTCACAAACTATTTGCCCAGCTGACTTTGGACCTCAATTCTCCTGATCTCTTCCTCCTAAGTAGCTAGGGTTACAGGCATGAGCCACTGATGCCTGGCCTTGCCATATTTTTCTTTCTCCATATTTTGCTGTTTTTATCTGAGGAACTGTTGGTGGAATATATGCTACTGCAACATTATAAAAGAAAAGTTTGACTGGGTTTTAATTTTACATATAAATAACTTTGATTGATTGAAAGTTATAGCATTCTTTGTAACTTCGAGGTGTCTGGTTAGGAATAAGTTTTATTTTAATTTTATGGAAGCTTTTAATTCTGATTAATACTATCAACAAATTCTGACATTATAGCACAGAGTAAAGTGTAGTTTTGTCTTTAAACACTTAAAAAAGTAACTAAAGAAGTTTAGACAAGGGCTGGTGGAGTGACTCAAGTGGTAGAGCACCTGCTTAGCAAGTGTAAGGCCCTGAGTTCAAAGCCCAGTTCTGCCACACACACACACACACACACACAAATGGTAAAAGAAGTTTAGACAAGTACAGAAGTGAATTTAAAAATATGGCAGAACCTTACCAGAATAAGTAAAATTGAAAGAACTAAAAATATCAAATGTGAATAGAAACTCTTGCTCTATGAAAAATCACTCCAAGATTAGCAACTTAACAGAACAGCCACTCACTTACTTCCAGATCTTACAGTTCTGTGGATTACCAGCGTAGGCTGTCAGCTGTGGACTATGCTCAGTCGTGTCTGCAGTCAGCTGTGTGGGGAGCTTGACTTCTGGCATTGACTGCTGTGACTGCATGAACTGTCCTAAGTCTCAGCAGGTCAATGCTTATTTTTTCACATAGTAATTTGGGGCAAATCTCCAGGAGAGTGGGAATGTGCAAACCTCTTAAGACCTTGGCCTGGAACGTACACAACTTTTTTTTTTTTTTTTTTTTTTTGCCATGCTAGGAAATGAATCTGAGGCCTTCTGCATGTCAGGCAACTGTTCTACCATGAGTCCCATTCCCCAGTCAACACGACTGCTTAATAGTTGTATCAATTCCTCAAAGCCAAAACAAGTCAGAAAACCAACCCACATTCAGGAGGTGGAGAAAAGCCAGGTGCTGGTGGCTCACACTTGTAATCTTAGCTACTTGGGAGGCTGAGATCAGGAGGATCGAGGTTCAAACCAGCCTGGACAAATAGTTTGCAAGATCTTGTCTCCAAAATAGCCACAGCAAAATGGAGTGGAGGTGTGGCTCAAGTGGTAGAGCACCTGCTTTGCAAGCACAAAGCCCTGAGTTCAAACCTAAGTCCCATAAAAAAGAGGTAGAGAAATACTCTTAAGTTTTTTTGCATGAGAATATGAAAAGTCACACCCAACACTAGCGTCCCCTAAAGACCCATGTCTTAGGGCTTGGTCCCCAGTGTGCTGCTATAGGGAGAGGGTGAAACCTCTCAGAGGCAGGGCTTAGTGCGAGGTCGGTAGGTCACTGGGGGCATGGCCCTGAAGGGAAGGAATAACAGGACCCCAGCCCTTTCTACTCCTCACTTTTTCACTTCCTGACCACAAGGTACCACCTTTGCTCTGCCACCTGCTGCTTTGCCACAAACCCAAAACCAATGGGCCAACCAACTATGGACTAAAACCTCCAAACTGTGGGCCAAACTGTGGGCCAAATAAATATTTTCTCTTTCTTTTTTTTATTGTGGTACTGGGGTTTTGAACTCAGGGCTTCACACTTGCTAGGCAGGCATCTACCACTTAAGCCATTCTGTCAGCACTTTTTTTGTGTTGGTTCTTTTCAAGATAGGGTCTCGCAAACTCTTTGCCCAGGCTGCCTTTGAACCATGATCCTCCTGATCGCTGCCTCCTGAGTAGGTAGGATTATAGGCGTGAGCCACCAGCACCCAGTCGCTTTCTCTTTATAAGTTGATTGTCTTAGGTACTTGTTATAGTGTTGAAAAGCTGACCAACACAAATATATTGCTTGCAGAAATATAAAACTGGTTAGCTAAACCTGTGACCCAGGGCCGTCAAAGTCCTCATCCAGGGGAAATCAGTGCTTATAACATGGAAGACATAAAAAAGAATGTCCATGTCACTTTATCCATAATAGCTCCAAACCAAAAACAATCCAAATGTCTATCAACAGGAGAATGAATAAGTGAATTACAGGTTGATATAATGGAATACTATGCAGAAAAAAAGAACAAATGACTTATATGCAACCTGTTGACTAAAAAAAGCCAGATAGAGAAGGTTTGTGTTGGGTTATTTTGTATGATTGCATTTATATGCTGTGCAAAATAGGCAAAACTCTTCTGTAATGACAGGAAGGAGAAGGAGGGGACTGCTGGGTCCTAGCCATGTTCCATATCTTGGTCTGGGTGATGGTTACATAGGTGTGTGTCTATATCGTGTGTGTGTGTACGTGTACATGAGTGTGTGAGTTTTATCATATTCTTAGGACCTTATTATCTACAAGTTATACCTTGATTTGAAAATAATGTTTTAAATGATGGCAAGAGATGGGGGAGGGGAGAAGAGAGGGCACTGAGGCCTGGGAGGATTGGGGAGGTTGCCTTGGCCACTCAGAACTTCAGCTGGAAGGAGCTGAAGGAGGAAGGTTCACCACAAGAGGGGCGAGCATGCCCCCTGGACTTAGCTATTCTCACAATTTCCAGATCCTCTGTCAAAATGCAATATTTCAACAACTTTAAAGACCTTAATTGGCTTTATTTGTGGTTCTAGAATCAGGCAACACTTCATTCCATAAAATAGGGTGAAGTTTCCAATGACTGAGCAGAGGCGGTTGGCTTTGGGGAGAAAGAGGGCTGAAGGAAGCAGAACTGGGAGCAAAGAGCAGATTCATTATTTCAATGTTACTTTCCTTGTGACTCATGGGTAAAGAGACAGAACAACAGAAAAATAACTGGCTGGTTAACAACAGGGTACTTTTTTGGTAAGGATTAAAGCAAAGAGAGTCAGTTTCCTGCTGACTGAAACTGGCTAGTTTGAGAAATTTGGAGATTATCTCCCTCTCTTGAATTCTCAGAAGGCCACCTTGTCTCAGTCTAGTGACATGGAATCCCAGTAGAAATGACTCCATTTTGATTTTTAGTCTGGTCTGTTGGGGCCTAGTACAGGAATTTCATCCCAAACAATGGCCTCCTATAAATTCTATTTAATATCTCTCCACTCTAACCTTCTAAATTTGGAATGAGAAGAGAAAAAAATTGTAATGAATTGAATAAAGAGATATTAAATTGCCAAAAGCCTAAAAGCACGTGTAGTTCAGTGCCTGCACAGCGGGCAGTGGGCAAAGTGACCCACTAGCTGATCTTGGATCCTTTTGTGATGACTGGTAATCTAGTAAGTGAGCCCCCTTCCTGAGTTCTGTGAACAGGTCTAGCAACTGACCAAACCAGGGGGAGGGACTGACAGAACCCTGATGTACAGTTGGTAGAGCAGAAGTAAGGTGATAGCCGGCTGGCGGAGTGGCTCAGGTAGCCTGCCTAGCAAGTGTGAGGCTCTGAGTTCACACCCCAGTACTGCTAAAAAAAGAAGTAAGGTGACAGCCTGGGACTTACGATTGGCCTTTGAAGTGGGAGGGACGTGTGCAATTCTGTGTGGCTGGGCCCATAATCTGTGGTGTCAGTGACAATTCTGGGTGGTTAATGTCAGAATTGAGCTAAATTGTAAGGCACATGCTCACTGTTTGTTGGATATTACTTGGTGTCCAAGGTGTAGACAGGAACCAGGGGTTTTGTTCTGCTTTCCCAGGAGACTTTCCCTTCCTCATTTTGGAAACCCAAGAGCTCACTGCCTTTCTCCTTTTCTTCATCCCCCCTCTCCAGTCGGTAGAACTGGCCTGGGAGGACTCTCTGCAGAGCATCTTGGCACAGCAGCCTGATCAAAATCAGCAGCGTTCAAGTTGTCTGGGTAGACCACCTACTCTGTCAATGCCAGCAGAGTACACCTGAATCAACAGTGCTGGGCAGTGGGGATCCCAGAGGCAAAGACCCCATAACTATGTATTTTGACTTCCTAATTCCCAAAGGCAAAGTCCTAGGGCTCCTCTCACAGTTGTCCTGCTCATCTAGGAATGTTCCCCTCGACAAGGTCAGAGGCTCGTAGAAGAGTGAGTGTGTAACTTGCAGTCAGGCCCTACGAAGCCCAGAAGAGCACTCCTCACCCTACTTCCCAAGAGCTCAGTCCTGTGAGATCATGGGCCAGACAAACAGTCTTTCATCTGAACAAATGCAGCCACCTGCATGGTTCTGGGGGGTGAGAGGGGGGCCTAGGGAAAAGCTGGGAGTGCCCTCAGTTGAGGCAGTGGGCTGTTTTGGGTTTAATTAGCTGGCTATGTGTACATGACACTTTAGGGCCATCCTCACACAACTTCTGCCTTCACAAATTAATGTAGACAGGGATTTTCTGGTTGCCTAATAGCACCCACACACTGCCAACGTAAGCCAAGGGCACTGCAGGCTTTCACAGGGTTTTACTAACTTTTCATAGATCGAAGGCAAAAGTGATTATCTTATAGCCCTGCCGGGTGGCTGTCTTTCTGTCCAGCACCCTGTCCTTCCTCAGAGAGGCAATGTGGAATTGCACTCTTGTTGGCTCTGCTTGCTTTGGAATTTTGTCCAAGAACAGGCAGCTCAGAGGCCCTGCTGTGTTCTGAACATGTCAGGCACACCCCCTGACCTTTCTTCCAGCCAAGCAGCTCTGATAAGTGGGCAGGCCTTGGGTCTGGAGACCCAAAGACACACTTGGGTGATTCTTACAGAGATTAGTTGAGCCATCTCTAGGGACACAGTCCAGCTCCGGATGTGAGCTGCTGGCCAGTGGCCGGCTCCCAGTGCCACAGTCATGATCAACAGGACCAACATCTCTGTTCCGTACTACAGCTATGAATACTACCTAGACTACTTGGACCTCATTCCTGTGGATGAGAAGAAGCTAAAAGCCAACAAACGTAAGTCAGAACCAGGGAGGCTGGCCAGGCAGAGGCTGGGGGCTGGCCTGACTCACAGATGTTCCTAGCTCTGTCGTCAGTCACTTACTTCCTTTAGGAAAGAAGATATCACAGTTAAGAACAATATAGCCTGTGCCCACACAGATAAAAAAGAATAGACTTGGGAGTCAAAGTGTGTCTGCAATCTTTTATAATAAGCTTGTGAATTAACCTGCTGTGAAATGAAGCAGAATATTCTTTTAAGATGGATTTCTTCATGAAGTTTTGTTTGTTTGGGGCTCCAGTAAGCTGGGTGAGTTTCTTCAAACTGCAGTTTACTTTTGGCATTGTCCCATAGCTAGATTTGGAAGAGTTATTCCCTAAGATGTAAGACAAGGTTTCTACTAAATTGCCAACAGATGCTTAATTTTTTGGGGAGGGGAGCGCTCAGGGAGGATAAGCATGAGTTAACATCTGTTTGGTCATCTGACCTCATGTTCTTTACCTCTTGGCTAATTTGGCACTGATCAGTCCAGCTACTCAGTCAAGATAACAAGTCAGCAGAGGAAATGAGCAAGAAAAGCAAAACCCCCAAGGCCAGATGCAGTGGCTCGTGATTGTAAATCCCACCTCTCAGGAGGCAGAAATAGGTAGATCATGGATTGAGGTTAGCATGGGCAAGATGCAAGACCCCATCTTAATCAATAAACCAGATGTGGTGGTGCATACCTGCCATCCCAGCTAGACAGGAGGCTGTAGGTAGGAAGAGGGAAGTCTGAGACCAGCCTGAGCAAAAACACAAAACTCTACCTGAAAAATAACTAAAGCAAAAAGGGCTAAAGTTATGGTTCAAGTTGTAGACCACCTGCCTAGCAAGCAGGATGTCCTGGGTTCAAATTCTAATACCACCAAAAAAGGGGGCGGGAGGGAGGGAGGGAAGAAAGGAAGGAGAAAAAGAAAAAGAAAAACGAAACCTGGACTGAGCCTCCCCTCTGGCTATCTCATAAGAAATCTGGGGTCTCATGATTATTTTTCTCACAATAATCATAAAATAATGTCTACCAAAAGGTAAATGAAGTTGCTAGAATGGATGGGTTGCTTCTCATCTGGAAATCCCAGCTCAAAACTGAAAGACATTCAGACACTATTGTTCAAGAAAGTGAGTAAAGCCTGGGTAGAGCTCGTGGGGCAGGCTTCTAGGATACCTTGTTATCTGGAGTTCATGCTTCAAGTTCAAGTTCATTTCCAGCTTCTGAAATTCAAGTTCAGTCACCCATCCATGTTTGCTGAGGATTTACCTTGTCCCCAGATCATACTAAAGCTTTTGAGGGGATGGTGGCTTTGGTGCACGGGTTCTGATGCAAGTAGAACATTGTGAAGTTGAAATGCAGGTTTTTGTATATATGAGTCACAGTAAGGGAAACAGAGTCACATGGAAAAAGTGGTAGGATTGAAATTCCCACTTTGTAAATATTGTCAAAAGTTCAGAACTTCAGGATACACATTAATCTGGACAAAATGTAGGATTGCCTTCAAAAAGGTCTTTTTAAAAATTTACACTAATTAGAAAAGGTTCTGGGTCAGCTTCAGACACTGTTGTCTTTTTGTGTGCCAAATGTCATGCTTGGCCATTGCCTGGGCTCCCAAACTTCACTTGTTTGAAGTGAAGATGGTTTATCATCTTAGAACCCACAAGCTCAACCTTCTGCCCCATGCCTATTCCCTACAAATATCTTCTGTTTCTGGGAAAAGTAGTGATATACTCTAAGTAGTATGATAGTTTTTTTTTTTTTAATGTTCTTTCTTTGCAAGCTTCTTGCCCACTGAAATACCTAGTGAGGACTGTGGTTCAGGAAAGCCACACAGTCTGTGGCATTTTGGTATAGCATCTTGGACAGAGGAAGACAGGAGACCAGTCTTCTTTCTAGGTTTGCCCAGAACTGCCCCAGGCACACCAAAATGGTCACCTTTTTCTCCTCTTTTTCTTTCAGCCCCACAAACATAGGAACAGGACTGCCAATAACCCATCTCTTAAAGGAAGTTAGAAAACTGCTTTCTCTGGGCACACAGTTAATCACAACCCATTCAGCTGGGGCCCTTGAACAGTGCACAACCTGTGTAAGTGTTCACAGTGTCACTGCATAGGAGGGACTCCAGGCTCCACCGTGTGTCCTCTTCCTGTATCCCTGTCTCTGCCCTTCCTTCTTATTGGTGGTCTCTCTGAAACTTGGTCCTGGAATTTTGTTTTCCATTCTTCCCAATAAGACTCACTTCCTCTCCATGCCAGGAACATGCTAGGCTTTTCCTGCCATCATACCTGTCTTATGTTTAATGCAACAGTCAAAACTCTGTCATACCATCTGCTATAGCTTAGCCATACTTCTGGGAGCTGGCAGTACAAAAGTAAAAAGACTAATCTATGCCTTTAGTCATTTTCATTCATTATTTTATTTATTGTGTATCTATTTTGATTATGTATTTCTAAGCAGATTATAGACACCCTGCCATTCCTCTACCAAAAGCTTTATTAGAAACTAGAAGAACAGAAGGGGACTAAGGTAGAAAGGAGAAAAAGAGAGGGAATGAACCAATTTAGGTTATAATACATATATACATATATTCATAATGAAACTCCCTGGGTATCCATCTTAAACAAATAAAAATGTCTTTTTTACAAAAAATGAAGAACAGGAAGGCAAAATAGTTCCTGTCTGGAAGTTGGTATCAATGGGATGGAGGAGGAAAAGATGTAGGAGGCTGAATGTGGTGGAATATTATGTACTCATGTATACAAATGGAAAAATGAGACCTGTTGAAACTATTCCAAGAATGGGGGGAGGGGGGAAAAAGGAGAATGATGGAGGGGTGAATTCAACTATGATACATTATAAGAACTTTTGTAATGTACCCCCAGTACAACAATAATATGATAATAAAATTTTTGTAAAAAACTAGAGCATTGGTACACCTAAAACATTTCAATAATTCTTTTTTTGGCTCTACTGGGGTTTTGAACTCAGAGGCTCACACTTACTAAGCAAACACTCTACCACTTGAGCTACGTTTCCAGCCCTTTTAGCCTCAATTATTTTACAGATAGGGTCTTTCACTCAGTAATGGGTTATGATTTGCTATGTTCCCAGAAAAAAACAGTGTTGTTTACTGCTCAGTTGTTATATTTTGGTTCTTGACTGTCCCCTAAAGGCCCTTGTGTTGAAGATTTGGTCACCAATCTATGGCTGTGTTGGGAGGCAGTAGAACCTTTAGTAAGTAGGGCTTAGTGGGAGGAAATTAGGTCACTGGAGGCATGCCCTTGAAGGGGATTCTGGGACCCCAGTCCTTCCCTGTCTGTTTCTTTGTTTCCCAGGTGCCTGAGGTGAACAGGCTCCTTACCACACATTCCTGCCATGCTGTACTGTGCCACAAGCCCAAAGCAACAGGACCAAGTGACCGTGGGCTGAAATGTCTGAAACTGTGAGCCAAATTTAACCAAGTCAAATATCTCAGGCATTTTGTCACAATAATGGAAAGCTGATTTAATACATCAGTCTAAATCCAACTTTCCCCAAATGAGCTGCTTTGAGCCATCCACTTGGATGGACCACATTTAAAGTCCTCAAGTATTTTATTCTAGAGGAGGTCCTTCTCACAGAGGACACTGCTGAAGGGAATCAAACAGGCTCCTTGGTATTTATCCACATCATTCACAAGCTGTTATTCCATTGATGGGGTTGTGCCAGCGCTCTGCAAAGGTTGCTTGTGAAGCAGAAGGGAGGCCACCCACAGGGAGAAGTCAGAGGTCAAGAAGGGATGGTCCCAAGGGAAAAGGAAGGCCTTCCAGAGAAGGTGCAGCTAAGTTGAGTCACAAAGGATCAATAGGAATTTGCTTGAATGATAAAGGTCTGGCCCAGGGTAGAGAAGAGTTTCCTCCCATGGATAAAGGAGGTGCTCTGGGAGGCTGACAAGTGGGATGCTTTGGGAAGAGTGACATGGTTGAGAACTACAGACCACATAAGGCCTTGACCTTACAAGTCAGCCTCATAGAACTTCCTGGGGGGAGTCACCTAATGTCAGGAGCAGGGAAGACACAAGGTCCAATTTGCTTGCTAAAACAAAACAGAAATTAGAGAGTGGTGGGTGACACCTGGGCAGGACCACAGGTGATGGCTGGGGCTGGAAATTTCAAGTTGACAAGATTCCTGCCCTTAGGGGTTCACAATCTGGGAAGCAGAGGCCAGCTTAAATAAGTGAGCATGCTATGGTGTCCTAAACCAGAAAGACATATAGGGATACCACCGAAGCCCAGAGATGCCATGTGACTAGCTCACAGGCACCCAGCTAGTCACAGTCCAGGCTCCAAAGCCTCCAGGCTTCTTCCCAGGATACTTGTAGTGGTGACTGGGTAAATTCTCACCAAAATATATGGTGTGGGGAACAGGAACTTGGATCCAGCACATGTAGGCACATAATCCATGGATTGTGGATGGATGGGCAAATAAACTAATGTACAAATTACTATGCCTGTCAGTTATCAATCTATGACCTCTCAGCTCTGAGTGCACTCTTCAAAAGGTGCCCTGTGATAAACAATGGGCTTCCTTTAAGCCTTTCTCCTTCAAGGTCAGCATGATGTGTTGCTTTTCCGGGAGTGGTCACTGAGGGACAGTAGAGGAGGGCCAGGTTGCATGGGGGTTGACAGTATGGGTGTGAGAACATCTGTGGAACTGGCCCCAGTCACTAGCCAGAACTCCCTCTGAAGTCTCAGCCTCAGAGTGGCAATATCTACCATGTAGCCATCTGGACATGGAAGTCTCAGCCCCATGAAGCCTGCACATAGCCACCTGTGGCCTGGGTCACACACCACCTCCCGGTCAGACTCTCACCAACACTCTTATCACTGGTTATTGATGGCTTGGTCCCCACTAGCATTTTACAGCATTATCTACTTTGCTCTCTCAGCACCATCCCAGCCTAGGCCTGGCTTAGCCAGACAACATCCATGTCAATACCTCTGAGGACTC